CCTGCAAATCCATGCAGCCTCTCTGCATGCAGACAAGGGGCCCATGTTAAAAAGAAATTCTTCAAGCTCAAACTCAGGTATCTGATTGGTCAGAAACTGTCACTGAATGTACACTGACCAATGAAAAACCTGAGATTTGAGACAGAACTAATACATAACCTTAAGGCCAGGCTTTCTGCAGCACAATTTTTGTGATTTTTATTGACATCCCTAAATATTATAATTGACTGTTCCAAATTCATAACAAGTAATATTCCATTACACAAACTATCAGCAGGATTGGGGTTAAATGAATGGAGTATAAAACATTTTTCTCATGCTACAAAACACCTAGAGTTAAACTCACGATCTTCATGTAAAAGCATCATTATAACAATTATAATTGTAATGAGGTTAACACAAGGCAAATCTAAGCATATCATTTGACTAGCCTAACCTCCAATGAACAACAGTGTTCATTCTATATTTATTTATTAATTCATTATTTTTCCTAGTTTAAGTAAGTCATGCCCAATATTGTGTGCAATGATGAAATTAGCTTTCTGTCCAGCCTTTTTTGATGCTTTGTTTTTCCAGCCAGATGATAAAATAAAAAGAATGTATATAAACGTGAGGTCACAATAACTACTTATTACTTACTTTTATTCAATAATTCTTTTGTTTCTATATTTAAGACAAAAATGTAAGTTATTATAATATCACACCAATTATAAATCTAAACTTTTTTGTACAAACAATCATACATGTAGTACTATTAAATAACAATACAAAATTACAATGAACAACACAATCATAAATTGGATCACATTAAATAATCAAAATAAACATTTTATGTAAAATATACAAAAACTTTTTTCTATCACAACAATGAACCATCATGACTGGAAACAAACGGCTCAACACAACATGGTCATAACTGACATAAATTAACCTCAGGCCTCCCATAAAGTTTCAAAATTTGGAAGTCAGAGACTGCAAAATCTCTGATTTTGAAAGTCACGTTCAATGTAAATATAGGTAAAGAAGTTAAAGTTTTTTTTTATTTTGGAAGTCACAGGCCAAAATCAAGGAGTAAATGACTCCCAAACTCAGCTGGGACAAGTCCAAATAAAAATTTATCTGTGACAAAGATCAGTGCATTAATTCAGATGTGACATTTAAGTCCAAAACAAAAATTCAGCTTTGAAATGTCCTATACAAAGACTCAGCAGGGACAAGTCCAAAACAAAAATTTATATGTGACAAAATTGACAGGACATCAATTTAGATGTGACAATTAAGTCCAAAACAAAACATCAGCGCTTTGAAATGTCTTATACAAGTGCAAAACAAATTTTTATGTGCCACAAACTTCAGTAAATGACTACAGTTGTGACATATCAAAAACAAATGTATCTGTGACAAAATTCAGGACATCAATTCAGCTGGGACAGATTAGTAAGTCCAAAACACAATGTCCAATACAAAAACTCAGCTGGGACGAGTCAAAAACAAAAAATTATGTGGTACAAGTCCAATACAAAAATTTAGCTTGAGAAAGTCCAAAACAAAATGACCAATACAAAACTTGGACTGGCGCAATGGTTAAAGAACACTTTGTTAATGACAACACTGTGTTGAGCCCTTTAAATATCATTAAGAGATACCCAGGTAAAATGCCATTAAAATAATAAAATTCTATAAAAAATAATAAACAAAGCAGCATTAAACTTTAAATATAATAATAAAAACAACATATTAGTAAGCGGGGGAAAAATTGAGGTATACATGTTGAACTACAAGGCTGTGATACAATAAATGCTAGTATTTCATATCTGTATCAAACAGATATAGGGGAATTGTATACTCTTAATTGAGCAATTTAGTCTTAATAATTTTAATATACAACGCCATGTTTATTGTATATCATAACATATATGATATTCTATCATAGCAAAAATATTTAAAATAGTGGCTTAATTACTATACATCTGAATTTTTACCATAGTAATAATAAACATTCCTAAAGCAAATCCACAGATTTATTCTTTAGTAACTATCATGTGAGCTTTTTTATTAGAAAAAAAACAACAATATTTTTAGACAAGAAATAATATTATCTGCCTGTTCACAAATTTCACATTTTAATTATACTGTAAAACAATGTATACTGTAAAACCAGGTATTTTTGTGAGGATAAATTTTCACATAATCAACATTTCTGACTACTGTAATTGGTATGGTTAAATATCATGATTTTTTAATTTCAGTTCGGTTAAAGTTATGTGATACTTAGATTATGACTAAGCTAACATTTTGTTCACAATATTAGTGAAATTTAATCCCTTGTCACAATTCCTGGTTTTACAGAATTTAGTGTTAACAACCTCAATATATTGTAAACAAAAAGCTGTTAGATGAGCAGCACATTCCAGCTCTCTCAATCCTAATAAAACAATGGATTTGCAGGAATTATTTCAGTTCATAAGGGGTAATAATTCAGTAAAAATTCAAAGCTAGAGTGATGGGGCTTGTTCAGTTACCTACACATATAATTTAAAAGATGAAAGTGATATTTAAATGATTTAATTCAGTGTGTAGCAAAAAAAATAATCATGTGACACTTTATACCAAGATATTGTAGAACTGATCTCTCATAACTGAATTTTATAATTATTATTATAAGTAAATCTCAATGCAAAAGTCATGGGTCTTGGCAAGTGACCTACGAAATTATCCTGAGAACTTTGTACAAAAGAGAAACAATATACTTCAAAGAACATTTGTTTTAAAGTGATGATGATTGTGCGTGTCTTACAAATATACTTCTAAATGCATGTGTGAAGTTTCAAAAGGAATATCTTAAATGATTAAAGCAATCTTGAAGTTGCAAGTAAAACAACAATGCTGATGCCAGGGTGTAAAAGATAACCCTACTTAATTTCTTATAATAGCTTATTTAAAGTGAAACCTATATCATCATAACTGACAAGTTTATTTCTGTGTTCAGTAGCAAAACACCTTAAATGTCAAAATATTGAAAACCAAACCTTTATTTGCAATCTATGATTATTTAAATACATGCAGAACAAATCAAAGTAAAATGAAGGGATGGGGTTGGGGATGAACTTCAAAACAAACATCAACACATGCAGTGTAAATATCATATATCATGAAATATTATACTTTAACCTGCTACCAAAAGTAAAACACAAGTATAAAGCCGATTCTAGAAAATTTGCTGCCCCCCTCCACCCCCCTTCACCCGGAAAGTTGCCTCCTCTGACATTCCTCCCTCTTTTTTGTGGTGGCAGACATTTGCCCCACTGCAAAAAAAAGGGGGCAAACATCCAGGTGGGGGAAGGTGAGGTGAAACTGTCCGGACACCTATAAAGTCAGGTCCACCACACAAATGATGCACAAATGGACTACTCTAAATTCAAAGGAGGAAAAATCCACTACACAAATGAAGCAGGTCAAAGGTCAAAATTAGCCAATAAAATGACAATTTATGACTAGCACAATACCTTATGTATTGCATTATCTATCCACACATAAAATATGTAAAGATTATCTTTACCATACAGCATCCCATTCTCACCCCCAATGCCCCTGCCATGTTACCTTACTTTGGCACTGTATTATAATGGTAAATGATGGTTTTTGATTTTCAGTACATTGATGACAACATTGATCTATTGCACTTTTTTCATGATTTAGGAATTTATGTAACCTTGCACCTATATTTATTATTATTTAACATCTGAACAATGTGTTGTTAAAAATAAATGCTAATTTAATCCTTTGTCTACAAAAATCTAGTAAATATTAGTTAATTAATCAAATTGCGCTTTAAAACAGCGGTATGACTAAAATTAAGTTAATACTTTTGGTGACATTTTAAGCCAGATTCCTTGAAATGGTCATATTGGATTCAAGCTTTATTGGCAGTTTGTTTGTTTGGTTGGTTTTTTACACTAATCTTAACATTTTTTGGTTACCAATTTTCCTTGATAAATAAGAAATTATTACCAATTTCTCAGCAAATGACAGACTAACTACATTGTACTTATCCCATGTGATTTCTGGATCAGTTGTAGACTCAAAGATCAATTGTTACTAACAAATTTGGTCACATCTATTAATTGATAACCCCTTATGCTCTCCCTATTGAGTAAAGCGGACAAAACTTTTTGGTTGGTAAAACGCCTCGGCTGCTTTATTTCCGGGCGGAATCTGTTAATTTTATGATGTTCAGATATTAGATAATGATAAACATAGATTAATAAATTTTAAAGGCAATGTATATGACATGAAGGCAGCTTGGTATTTTAAATAAAATCAAACACTTGCAAGCCAGCTTCACAAACTTCTTGTAAAAAGACAAACAACCAAACACAAACAACCAAAATATGCCCTTTTTTATACCATTAAAATAAATGCAATACATGTACCTAAATTAACCCATATTGGCAATCTGCCAATTTTATTGTGACATATTGTTATCAAGATAGCATAAAAGTTCATAGAATCAAAATTGTACTTTGAAATTATTATTACGCTTTTAAATTCCTTGATCTTATCAGTGATCTATACATAAATCTTAAATGACATTGTGGCTAAGAAAAGTAGAAGCAGATTAAAAGATTCCATATATTTGCACAGAAATTACAGATTGCCATTATAGGTCCATTACCATTACCTTGAAATAACATGAGTCTGACAGATCATCATCATAACTAAACAGATTAATGTCATCACTAAACAGTATGGTGTCATAACTTAAAAATATCAGTGTCATTAATAAATAGATCAGTATAAAACATAACCAATCAGTGTCATAACTTCACAGAATAGTGAAGCAACTTCATATAGTCTGGTAACTTCAAGAACAGTGTAGAAACTTCACAGAACAGTGTAGTAACTTCACAGAACAGTGTAGATACTTCACATAGCAGTGTAGTAACTTCACAGAACAGTGTAGTAACTTCACAGAAAACTGCAGTAACTTCACAGAACAGTGTAGATACTTCACATAGCAGTGTAGTAACTTCAAAGAACAGTGTAGTAACTTCACAGAACAGTGTAGTAACTTCACAGAACAGTGTAGTAACTTCACACTGAGAACAGTGTAGTAACTTCAAAGAACAGTGTAGTAACTTCACAGAAAACTGCAGTAACTTCACAGAAAACTGTAGTAACTTCACAGAACAGTGTTGTTACTTCACAGAACAGTGCCATAACTTCACAGACCAGTAAAGTATTGTCACAAAACAGTGAAGTGACTTCTCTGAAACATGAGTGTGGATACTTCAATATCAGTGTCATAACTTACAGGTCAGTGTCATAATTTCACAGGTAAAAGTCATAACTTAACATACAAGTGTCATAACTGAACAGATTAGTGTCATAACTAAACAGATCATTGTCATTACTGAAAAAATGTTGCTAGAAATCTTTGGTAATAATCTATAACAGTATTATGGCCAAAAATGCATTGAAATATGATTGGATACATGGAAGGATATGGTACATATTGCCAAAATGGATCCAACATTTAAATTAGACTAACAATGTTCTTTTTTTTTTCTGAAGAAATTAAAAATAAAACAATCACAGCCTTGGTCTACAACAATCATCTATACAATAAAACCTATATCATGATTCAAAATCCTTCAGCTCAACTTTTTTCTTCAGAACATTGCCTACATTGTCCTCTGCGAGAATCGTCACTGTTTTGGCCTCGATCGGAACATTTTTAACACGAGATTGCTTTAGTGCAAATTCAGTAGGCGGAGTTTCGGATAGGAATTCCCAATGGTGGAAAACTTCACCTTCTGGATCACTCCTTAGTTCAACCAGCCGCAAACCAAAATTTGACCTTATACGAGACCTGAAATGTTATGTTATTACAATGATAGAACAAGATGTGTATCTAACACACAAATAAACATAATCATCTGTTATAGACATCAGATATCAAAATAATGACGATTTTCTGAATTTTGAAAAATTCAACCATAAAAGTCAGGGTCATATATTTTTCAATTCATTACACCTCAAGTTACTTTGCTTCTTTCATTTATTTTGGTTGCACCAACACTGTTAAGGTCATATGGTGACTTTCCAGCTTTACTGGTGGAAGGGGACCTCAGGTGCCCTTCCTTGCATTATTTCTGGCACAAGAGGAAAGAAACTGTTAATGAACTTGGAAATTGATTTTCTTTTTTTGTTGAACTTCCTTGTCCTTAGTTGTTAACATCAATTACAAAAATCAATTTCTACTAATGTCAATTTCAACTTGATACTTTAAGAAAGTTGACACAGCACTATTTATCACTACCCATTAAAAAGTCATTAGAGGCTATAATGGTTTCTTAACCTAGTTACATGTATAACTGTAAAAGTAAAATTAAATATGTACAATCTAAACTAAAATGACTGCAGTAAATTTGCTTTTGATCAATTTTCTAAAACATAAATATTTACAAAATACACACTCTTGATAAAATTACAATCAGATTTTTTTTTCTTTATACAGTTGTATATAGAAAATTATAATATGGCCGCCGCCACGAGAAAAGGGGCACTCGGGCAATTTTTATCGATTTTTAGTTTTATGGCTAATATTTTAGGACATGCATTATTGTGCACGATGCACTTTATTTCACATTGATATTGCAAATACTTTTTGAGATATAGAGGTTTAAAAGAGGACATTAATGCAACGTCAACGACAGATTTACGTAACGTCATAATAATTATGACGACGTCAAATGTAGTTTAGCAGATAACAAATGAAGTCAAGTGTTTCAAAAGTTTTAATTTTGCACTTACTAGAATAATACTAAAATATATAGAAGTAAGATATTAAAATATAATTTAAAAACTATTTTATAACACTATTTTCAAAATTATCGTTATTCTTGAATAAAACATGTAAAACAATTACATGTTATAATTTATAAGACTTGGCTCTAATAATGTTAAAGCAAAACTTTAATTATAAAAAATGGTAAACAACTGAACTTGAAAACAACAACAAAATTCATCAGTCAGTCTGTATGCATGCAGCCGTGAATAACTCTTCAGTGTATGACGGGCACGTGGCATCTTGTATGCAGGACGCACATATTTTCTAACGTTACGTATAACATATTCGCGCCGTGTACAACTTAATCCTGCGGGCTGTATGACCTCGGTAAATGTTGTTGTTAGAACTTCAGTATTACGTCTTATCAGCGGAACTCTAATCTTCTCGCTATCAGTTCTTTCCTTTACAAACACAGCCCGACTTGTCTGCAGCAGAAAATCTGAAGCAGTGATATTTCTCTATGCCTTTCACTTGTAGGAAATATCGCGTCAAATACGACTTCCAGTCATACCTGTGTTAAAATAATGGTTATTTTATTAAATGCAGTTAATAATGTAGTATAACGTATATTCTTATTGAAAAATATACCATCTTTGTGAAAAAAAGATTTTAGGCATTGGCATTTCTTTTTCTTCTGTTGCATTTAAAATAAATAACATTTTTGTTTGTTGCTACTATGTATGTGTATTGCTAGCGATCGGCGTGGCTGTGATAGTGATCATCATTATTATACATGCTTGTTATAATGTTTAAGCCTACATTATATTATTAAACTAGTTATCGAAAATCTGTTTAAACTCTGTAGAAAATTAATTACCATTTCCCATGTTTGATCATTGTTTTCATTTCGATATAAAACAGGGAAATTGTTCCTTGCTGATTTTATCCACAATGTTGCGAATTGACTCAGACTCTGCAATCAGACCTCTTGAATAGTTTTTTAATTCGCCCGAAGCCACCATCGACAAGACACCTTAGATAAAAATAAAGTACAAGAATTAAAGAATGACAGTACAAACAAATTAGTTATCACATAACCATAAAAACACTGTAGTAGTAAAATCCACTTCGTCACATAGTTTTGAGTAGGCTGTTACTTAACTATGTGTTCACTTATATCTGAATAAAATATGAGGATTTTATTTAATTTTGTGACGAAACATAAGGAGTAACATAACCAACGCTTACGAATATGCCGCAACGATGCTATGTATAAATATATCAAGGTACTTACTTTGTATGCCCGGGAATAGCCATATTCAAATGAATGTGTTCATGTAACCCTCTGTTTACTCTCCAACAAAGATACGCCAGTGTGTATCTATTCTTATTTTGACCTGTTAACAAGAAAAGGAACGGAAATAACTTTATATTACTTGTTTTAGTATTATTAATCAATGAATATGCTGAATATTTTTATTCATAAGTTAATGTGAAAACAAGATTTACCTTCGCAATTATCTGCATAAAGATAAAGTCCTTTCTCGCCAAATCCGAAATTCTGTAAACAATGATGGAGGATGCTTAATACTGAATTTGGTCCATGTGTCCCAGTTCCATCTAAACCTGTAAGGTGACAATAATTTATACGAAATACAGTTTTATATCAATTAATAAAAATGGCAATAATATAGCGTAGTGTAAAACTCATTAATGCAATGATCATAATAATTAATTTCGGAGGACGACAATATGCCTAAATAACCCACATTTACCCACATCCAATCACATATCCTATTCTGTCATGATAATAACGTTTCAAAGTAAATTTGGTTAATAGTTAACATACCTATAGACTGATCTTCATTCTATTCAGTAGTTTAACTGCTCACTTGTAGAGTCAATGCGGATACCGAACATATCTATTTTCCTGCCTGTTACAAAGTACATGGGTCCCCATCTGTCGACTGTGATGAGGGGTATTGTCACACTCTGACTGTAGTCAAAAGTGATATGAACCTGAATAAATTGACCAAAATGATAATCAATAAAATACTACTGGGATCCTACATGTTTACCGGCACAATCAGTTTAACGGACAAAATCTATTCCTGTCAAATAAGGCTTTTATATTTTGCGTCGATTCAAAAATCATCCAGTCTGAATCGTACACACACTTTCAACTTCAAATAAAATAACAACAAAACCACTCTCAGGCAAATATTGTTGATTCAGTTCTTTATTTACTAACATACCCTTTTTGTTTACTAGTTTATTCCATGACCTGGTCATGCGGGGGAATAATCTGTTCTGCGCATTCCCGAATATTGAGGCCCTTAATGGGTTATTTCAGATAGGTTTTACTTTTAAGTCTTCTCAACGATTACCTCAAGAGACAATCGTAACATATTTTAATGATAAAAAGTAATTTTAAATTTCGTTCATACAAAATCTCGGTTGTTTCTTTTACAAAGAAATGCAAATTAAATAACATATAAGGAAACGGGTTACGCCCATTGGAGGAAACTACATGAATTGTACAAAAATAGACTTTATGGCTTTTGCAACATGCTACATGATGATCAAAAGGAATGTATGAGAAAGAACAGAAATCAATTTGAATATCAAAATGTGTCATACTTTTAAGGATCATGAAGAATCAATACGTTAATTGAGTTAATAGTGTTTAATTTCAATTACACCTCTATATAGGCCTCTTCGTAACAAGCATGGCTGCCTGTCTATTTTAGTAACATACTGGTTTTTTTCCAGTATCTTAACATTGCCATTCAATAGTCGTAGTTTTCTTGCTGATTATTTAAAGATTAATTTCAATTCACGACTTCAAAACATTTTGAAACACAATGTCCGGTAAATTGAGTTGTTAACACGATTTTTCCTCTTATAATGCCCTACTTTAAAGACACATTTCTACGGTCAAATATTTAATTTCATGTTTGATAAAGGAATGTATACGTGCATTAAGAATCCAAAATTATTTGGGTAAAATTCCATTCTTTTTTATTATTTAAAATAATAGTTACAGATAAAAAAAAACATAATATTTTGTCCGGTAATACGAAGGATCCCAGTAAGCATTTTTTTTATATTATACATGTATGTTGACTATTCTATTGATGACTTTTTTTACTAATATTCTGACTAATCTAAGTTTACCAATATGAATCACATATGCATTTTCCAAATTGTTAATTTAAAAACCATGCAGTTTTGAATGTTAAATCCGTTTTTTTAATTATCAAATATAAAGACAGGGGCCTTCAGACTATTGCACTCTCAATATGTTATTTGCACTAATAATTATAATATTGCACGTTTATAACGTCATTTTTTCAACGGATAATCGTGACGTTAATATAATCTGTATGCACTGCTGCAATCGATTTATATATTTATTTCATTTTACTTCTAATAATAAAGAAAGTTTGGAATATTATAAGTGAAATAAAAATTAATTCTTAATGAATGTAAACGGTAATATGCAATTGCCTTACAGCTCGGTTATATATACAACAACCGTTTATATATGGTCATATAACCTGTAAAAGATCTTTAAAGCTTATACCATAACTGTCATATGCATGACTTACTGAACTCTGTGGAAATTGGTGCAACGGGTATTGTCGGTCGGGTGTAACCTACCATCTCTTCTCTCGCTTGAATAACCGCTGTCATGTACGCCTGACGTTCTGTTTGAGCATCCTGAAACATTAAGGTAAAACATATATTGTGGTTTGTCCAAGATGTACATGTATATAAAATATCTATGATTTTTATGCCTACGGTATTACTTACATGAGATGTAACAAAGGGAAAATAAAAAGCTACTTTGAAAAATACAAGATAACAATTAGCAATATAGAATACCTGCACATGCTCCCGGAGACAATTTGCTGCATCAAGTTTTGCTTGCTCCGTCACAGCATCCATAACACTGTCGCAACTGCTCACACTTATGACACACGTCATCTTTTGGTGACGTTATCTTTATGTGTGGAATGCAATTTTTCCATACATTTTTGAATGATGACACTCCGAGCTTCCGTACATCTGACTCCTGACATGCCTGACAATATTGACTGTGTAGAGAAGCTTTTGTAAGGTTCGACGGGAGAAGATAGGGTCTTCCCCGTCACGGCCCCTGGGTGCTGCTGGCATAGGTAAATATGTAGATATCGGCATACCATAAAATCCAGTCTACACAAAACCGTATCTCATTGTAACCGAGGGCATGGTGTGGTTTTCTTCCACTGTTTCCGTGGGTACGTGGTATAGCGCCATTGGTAGTAAAGTGATCAAGTAGGTTTCGGAGAGCTTTTGATCCGATATCATTTACATACATGAATGCCTTCTTACAGATAGGTTTACCATGAAATGTGTATCTAAAACGAGTCTGTTTCCGGCGTTTCCCTTTAAGAGTTTCGTCAGTAACAATTTGATGTACACTCCCAGTAATGAACATCTCTGCTTCATTTCTGTCAATCTCTCTCATAGAAAGTATGTGACTGTCAACACTAGCTTTGTCAAACTAGAGAAGGCAATCAACTTTACACGTACAAACATTACAGGCTCTGTTACATGATGCGTCATCAGTGTCTCTGTCTGAGTCTGATTCCCTGGAATTTACAGTGTCATAATTTCTAATCACTTCTTTAATCCTTTGGTCACTGTCACTGACTTTAAACTCCTGGCTCAGATCTTCAGGTATATCAACCTCTGTTGATGTTGGACTCTGCTCGGCAGGTACTCCAAATGATTCAAATAATCCATTTAATTCCTAAAATAATCGAAAAAAGTATTTGAAAGAACATTTAAAGATTAAATGTAAAAAAAAAAAAGAAAGATCGAGGTTTCGAACCACGATCGACGCGCACGCAACGCACACGCTGTATCCACTGAGCCACGGACACATGTAATGATGAGCTATCAATATTTATTATATAAAATAATTTTTGCTAAAAAAAGCAAACAGGGGAGAGAATCACGTCGCTTAGCATTTATGTAAACACTGCTGTCAAAAGAAAAAAATCAATACAGCGCTAATAAAATTCAGTTTAAATTAACAACTATGTCATAAACTGACAGAAATTGCAAAGTGTGACATCATTTAAAATTAATGTACAGTTTTGCTGTGAATAATTCGTAGACCGGGATTAAAGCTGCAAACGATAGCGAACAGCAGACGTGTTTAAAAAGTCAATAAATATGACAGTAACACAACGACTAGACACCAAATTTTTAAAAATAAATATAATATAATGTTTGTTTTTTACCTCAAATTCGTCCATTTCCTCAAAACAATTCATATTCAGCCAAAACTTTATAAATCTCGCGCACCGAAACTAGTATAGTGACGAAAAAATCGCTGTCATTAGCCGCTCTCCTTTTCCCGAAGTTTTTGACGTTACGTCATATATGCCCGAGTGCCCCTTTTCTCATGGCGGCGGTCATATATTTGAACTCTTAGTTAGACAAAACATGTAACATGATAACTCCTGTTATTTTGTTGTTCAGTTTTTTATTTTCATCATCAAGATTACAAATTTGTTAACGATGCTTATTCATTTCAATAAAATATTTTCATCATCAGGTTTACAAATTTGTTAATGGTACTAATATTCATTTCAATAAAATATCAAATTTCACTTAACAAAACAAACTAAGTTAATTTATGAAACAAACTGTGTTAATTTATAATACACATACCCAGAAAAAGACATGTTCTTCTTGGATTCCCTTACATCAAATCTATTGAACCACCTGTAAAAATAAGATAATTAACCCAATTTTACATTTGTGAAAAAGAGAGGTTATTGGAATACTAATAATATTTTTTCAGTTTGTCACAAAGAAAAGAAGATCTGATATAATGACATCCATTAATGCGTTGATTTAGTCACAACTCATCTGGCTGCACACAAGTAGAACCACCTACTGGTACCTCTTTAAGCCAGCTTGATAGCTTTCTTTGTAATACAGTCATGATAGAATTCATAGACAGTGTCAAGATTAGAACAAACTGAAGTGACGGACAAATGATAAAACACTGCAGTCTGGCATTAATGGAATAGTAAAAACATCTAATATTACAACTAAACTTGTATCTCAAACTGTGTATATAACAAAAAGCAAGAGTACCCCAAAAATCCCCGTAAAACATATTTAAAATCATAAAAAAATATTTCAAAAAAAAAGTAAAAAACTGTACAAAAAAAAACTTCACCTTAAAACATAAACAAATTTGAATGCTTTTACTTTAGTTTAAAACATCTATTTTAAAAATTTTTACATATCTAAAAAAGCCACCTAAGAAAACTAAGCATACAGCCCAGGCCCCGTACCCAAGGGCCCCATACACAACGGAATTTTTGGGAAGTGGAGCCTGTTTCGGTTGGTGAGTTTGGAAACCTGGATGGAAACGCAGTAGGGACTGAAGAATGTACATTGAGCTAAATTTGGGAACCGGCTTTGGGAAACTCTCAAAAAAAAATATAATATTTTCATAAAATTTTTTCTTTAAACAATTTATCAAAGCTCTTTTGTCAGTTTATTTGAATAATCATAAAGTCTGCTCTCTTGAAGTACATGTAACCAGTATTTGTGTCACACTAGGAAAATGGTCATAACAGTGTCATGTGTCATGGTGGTGAACTTTTGTATCAAGAAGTTCTAAAATCTGTCCACCGAATAGAAAAACTATTCCAAACAAAACTGGACACTTGCCATGTAAACCAGCCTGCAAGGGATGATCCCAAAATATGACAAGTTTATCAAACAGGTGTTGTATAATAAGAGCTGTAGGTAGGACAGCATGTGTTCGACTACTCTCAGGGCTTGATTGTTAAACAAGAGCCTTGATAATGTAAAATTTTCAAAGTTCAAAAAATATAATTCTTTCATAATCCATGTTTGAGTTATAGGTCTTGGAAAGTGATCTCTTATTATGCTATAAAATAAGTATGTGAAGTTTCAACCCACTCCCTTCAGTAGTTTTATAGATACCAATTTGCATGCCAAAAATTAACCAAAGTGTAATGCAACCACCTGGGTAAGTGCAATGGCTCTCCTTATTCTTCAACTAGTCAAGTCAAAAAGGGAAACATTATTTTTTTTCTGGAAAATTATGAAATTGTTTCTTCAAATTATTACAGAACAGTCGTACCTAAAGATATTACTTCAAACCAACCTCTTTTTGACGTCTTTGCTAACAGCTGTCCCGACTCTCCAAGAGTTACTTCCGTCACTGTTTCGTAACTCCTATCCTTGGTGATAGTTTGATGTGTCTCACTACCATCGTAATTCTTCATGCTTATATTGACCGTCTGCTGGAATGCCATTGGTTTAAATCCTTCCTCCACCTTGAACACAACTGGTGATGGAGCTATGTACACATTGCCACTGTTACTGTTCCTTCTGATTGGCTGAAAGAGAAGTAATGATAAAATAGCATACATTTTTTAAAAAATTTTATGTTTACTCTTATTTGTCCTTCTGTGGCTATATAAGAATTGCAATTATCAGTCCAAGTGGTGTTCATTTCCTCTATAACATTTTTTTTGTCAGTCTGATGCGAAGAAATTATAACCACTCGGACCTTCAGCTTTCATGGTCAATCTCTAAGGATCAAAACACTTAACCAGTGTTGCATAACTGATGAACTCTGCTCAGACCATCATTATTGCTTATAATTTAGCTAGCATTGAGAAATCCATACCCTTAGATTTGTTGAAAATAAAACACATGTAAAAGTGGCTGAGAGGTTAAAATTTAGCAAAGAATTTAGTTGTGTCAAAAACTACAAGTTCTTCAAGAATGATTACTGTATAAGTGGTTAAGTTAGCAATATGGAAATATTGGCGAATTTCACGAATTGACAAAAATCACTTAAATTTCCTCTAACGTAAATACTAACCAACCTGTCATTAAATTCTACCCTTGCATGATTCTCTTATATTTCCTCATGCAAAATGGAATATTAAATTTGCTAAATAAATTTCGACACGCTCAAATATCCACTTATACAGTGAGTATCAAAAAATATAATAAATGTATATACATGTAATATAGAATTTCAAGCAAGAATTTTACCCTTTTGAATGGGCTCCCAAAACAAACATCTTTGTATCTCTTATCATTGATATTCACAGCCTTCACCTCTGTCTGCAGCAGACTTTTACTTTCTTGTGTATCAGAGAGGGAAACATTGCTTGGTGACCGCTCGTGGTTACTATAGCGATGATCCCCATTCTGTATTGCAACTTTTGACCTTTGAACTGTGAAGACTTTGTGAAGGTCATCAAATCCTCGTGCCATTATTCCTGAGGGTGTGTGTGCGAGATCAAATGTATGGCCTAATTCATGAAGTGAAGCACCGAGACCCGTAGCGTAGTTGGCCCAGTAATATTCTCTACAAAATATGCCAAACACAAATTTTAAATTAATAATTTCTGTTGACACTAGACTACTACACAATTCATATTATTTACAAAAGTAATTAATCACTCATGGGAAATAAGTTCAAGAAAAGAAATTCATAACAGCAAGATGGTTAAAAAATTAAAATGATGCTAAAACGAAAGTGCTTAAACAAATAATTAGGTGCTCAAATGTAGGTGTGTAGACGAATTATCAAAATGCTTAAATTTACCTAAGGTGCTTAAACGAGACAAGAGGGCCATGATGGCCCTGAGGTCGCTCACCTGTATAGAGGCCCCCGGAGCGGGGCCAGTTTAAACCCCAGGGCTTTTATTTGAACAAACTTGGAAGACACCCATTAGAAGATGTTTCCTGATGTTTAGTTTTTACTACACACATATAATGAAAAACAATGACCTGCCCCCCTCCCCCCTCCGGCAGGGCCAATTTTAACCCAAGGGCTTTTATTTGAACAAACTTGGTAGACACCCATAAGAAGATGTTTCATGCTAAATATCTAAGCTCTAGCTCATAAGGTTTTTTAAAAGAAGATTTTTTATGTTCTTACTTATAATACAAATATAGTTAAAAACAATGACACCCCTGAGGGGCGGGGCCAGTTTTGACCCCAGGGCTTATATTTTAACAAACTTTGTAGACACTTATTAGAAGATGTTTCATGCTTAATATCTAAACTCTAGCTGTTTAGGTTTTTTCAAAGAAGATTTTTAAGTTTTTGCTATAGACATATAAGGAAAATCAATGACACCGGGGCGGGGCCAATTTTGACCCCAGGGCTTTTATTTGAACAAACTTTGTAGACACTCACTAGAAGATGTTTCATGCTTAATATCTAAACTCTAGCTATTTTGGTTTTTTCATAGAAGATTTTTGAAGTTTTTGCTATACACATATAAGGAAAATCAATGACACCCGGGGCGGGGCCAATTTTGACCCCAGGGCATTTATTTGAACAAACTTGGTAGACACCCATTAGAACATGTTTCATGCTAAATATCTTAGCTCTAGCTCTTTGAGTTCTTTAAAAGAAGATTTTTTAAGTTTTTACTATATGCATAATTATAGCGAAAATCAATGACCCCCTGGGACGGACGGACGGACGACCGACGGACGAAAAGCGATCACAAAAGCTCACCCTGTCACTTTGTGACAGGTGAGCTAAAAATGACAAGTAATTAAATAAAGTATAATATTCTCAGTATGAAAACTTAAAGTAATGGTGATAGCATTTCTCATTAGTATCAAAATAACTACATTATAAGTATTTAAATTCATAAATATTTCTCTAAAATCCTAACTTTAAAGAAATAATTAAGCTAGTCTGTAAATGTATGTTAAAATTGTACAGTATTGTGTTTTTTATGTATGGGCAATATTATGTGTCTGCCTATGACCAAGACCTGACTAAAGTGTCTCAGAATCTGCTTGAGACATCAGATTAATTAGACTTATTTATAAAACAACAACAGTTGTAACTATCAAGTTATATTTTTCTACCTATAAGCGCTGTCGTCCATCAGCTTAGTGCGGTCAATTTTACGCATGTCCGTGAAGCGACTGTAGATTTCACTCACTTTTGCTGCCCATGTGTGAAGATTTCCTGTTCCAAATAGTGCTAGACCACCACCACCTGACAAACAAAACCAGTCTGCGTGCTATTTCTACTGATTAGTTTACATAAAATGGTAAACATTTTACATTTTCGGCACCAGTCTATTGTAACACTAGCCCTCTAAAAGTCCTGTACAGCTCTACCCCCTAGGCTTCAATGCAGGGGATGTCAGGGGAAATCAGAGCCAATATTTAGCTTGCATGTGTGACTTACAGTATTGCTGGGTCATTGGAGTGACTTACTTTTTTCGTGTCTTAACATCTAAGTGAATGATATTTTCAACTTTCAGTCCTTTGGCATTTATTATGGATTTAAGAGCATGTGAAGGGGAGGCAAAATCAATTGTCCACATTGCCCGGGTTATCCAACAGCCTGTGCGGACAAGTGAAATTTTCAAGAATTTACTATATAAATATCATAATAGGACAAATTAAGAAAGGATTCAGATAAAAATGGACAAGTAAGTCAAAAACAGATTTTGCCAGCCCTGACTAGTGGGGCATTATATTGAGATTTGATTATCCAAAAGTCCCCATTAGTTCCAAAGATGGGGAAATATTGGCAGAAGGGATGTATTGGGGATGGGGATAAAGTGGGTGGGATATTTTAGGAGTGGGGATGTATTGGGGATGGGGATAAAGTGGGTGGGATATCTTAGGAGTGGGGATGTATTGGGGATAGGGATAAAGTGGGTGGAATATTTTAGGAGTGGGGATGTATTGGGGATGGGGATAAAGTGGGTGGGATATCTTTGGAGTGGGGATGTATTGGGGATGGGGATAAAGTGGGTGGGATATTTTAGGATTGGGGATGGGGATAAAGTGGGTGGGATATCTTAGGAGTGGGGATGTATTGGGGATGGGGATAAAGTGGGTGGGATATCTTAGGAGTGGGGATGTATTGGGGATGGGGACAAAGTGGGTGGGATATTTTGGGAGTGGGGATGTATTGGGGATGGGATAAAGTGGGTGGGATATTTTAGGAGTGGGGATGTATTGGGGATGGGGATAAAGTGGGTGGGATATCTTAGGAGTGGGGATGTATTGGGGATGGGGATAAAGTGGGTGGGATATTTTAGGAGTGGGGATGTATTGGGGATGGGGATAAAGTGGGTGGGATATTTTAGGAGTGGGGATGTATTGGGGATGGGGATAAAGTGGGTGGGATATTTTAGGAGTGGGGATGTATTGGGGATGGGGATAAAGTGGGTGAAAAACATTTATAACCAACAATAAACATTATAAAACCAAAGTGAGCAAATATTATCTGATATAATAAATAATATAAAACGTTCTGTTCACCTGTATTCTATTAAGACTTAACATAGTTCCAATTTCTATTATTAATACTCAGTAACTTTGATTAACATGTTATTGACAGAAACAATGGAAAATTTAGGAAAGAGATATGGTAGTATAAAAGCTTACACTTAATCTACTGGTAATCACTAAACAATGAAAATTTAGCTTCTAAAACACTCATCTTTAGATTAAATAAAATAACTTCTGGCAAAATATCCATATTTTTAATCATTTATTGGAACATAATATAACCAACATGTAGAATACATTATTATCTGAGATTCTTCACCTTATTAAAAAAAATTCTAAGTTTTTTTTCCATGAAATTCGGATGTGATAATTATAATTTTGTTTTTACAAAAAATAAAAAAAGATTATTCAACACAAGTTAATTACTACTAACAATTAAAGCATTTATAAGTGTTTTCTTTTCAACGAAAAAACTAAAATTACCCTTTCCTGCATCACTTTAATCTCTATAAATTATTACCATTATTACCAATATTATTTTCTTATTTCTAACTTTATCAAAGACTTTATGGGTTCCTTTTTTTTTCTGTTTTTTTTTTTTTGGTTGGCACATATGGTATATTTTTTCCAGCTTAACTGGTGGAGTAAGACCTTTAAGGTGCCAATCTGAGCATGGTTTCAGGCACAAACTATGAACTGAGTTAAACCACGGACGTAACCTGTCAGCTGGCTCAGGTTAGAATCCAATTAGTCTCTTGCAGGATTTGAACCCACAGTAATGAGGGACAAGTAGTTTTAAGTCAATGACCTAAAATACTCAGCCATAGTAACACACCTGACAAGTTCACTGTATACATAGCATATATGAATAGAAAAACACTAAACCTGGTTAGAAGTTCTAAGAAAACTTTGCTAGAAATTTAAATTTAACTAGTCTCTAGTGTGAGAAAACAAACTCAACCAACAAAAGTACAATTATACTATAACAAATATTTGTTAAGCCAGTAAATGAGGGGTGTTTCAAAAGTTTATCAGAGTATTAAGTAAGATTATGGAAAACTCTATTTGAACTTAAATTTATATACTCTCTGAAAATGTTGTTTAAATTATCAATCTTTTAAAAAGAATATTTGCATTATATTCTAGGAATTTTACTATTTGCAATATTATATAATATACTAGGAAAATTCTTCACTAGACTTCAACTATATCTACATGTACATTAAATCAATAAAATTGTCAGGCCATATAAGTAATTACTTATATACTATAATGTACCCTTCATTTTAACTAGAAATGCGTCCAGGGGACACGGATGTATGCATATTGCAATGTTTTGTCAGTCTACAACTAGACATGGACACAATTAATTTTATATCCCCCATCCTCCAAAGAAGTAGGGACATAAAAACACCATAATAAAGAAATTGTTTCAGAAGAAGTGACCTAACTTTATGTCAAATAATTTGTGCCAAATTGTCCATTTTTCAGCACTAATTCTACAACAATTTTAATTTCATTGCATGATGCTGTCAAACTACTTTTTCCTACATTAAACACTGCCCCAACCCCTTCTTTCACAACCAAAAAAAAATGTTACTTATGAGTTATACAGACTCAATTAACAAAAAAAAAAAATGAAACTCCCCTCAAAATGCTCAGTCACAAAGACTCCAAATAACTTTTGAAACTCCCCTCAAACAGTTAAATAATTGCCTACCAGACTGCTGCAGTCTGCCAGATGGTATATTGTAAAACCTTGAATAATAAACATAAAGAAGATTCAAGTATAATATTATAAATTTATATCAAGGTTTCTTGTCTGTAGCTTCATTTCTTTACATAAGCTCATCTTTAGCATATTACTCATCCAGAACTAATGATTATGTAAAATTATCTCCTTTCTCAAAGGTAAAATTGTCAAAATGAGCAGAATACCCAGTAAATAACTATGCATCATTTATTTGTGACCTTCAGCCATTATAAACCCCTGGTGTACTGGTGGGTTAGTGAAAGAAATGTTTTGACTTTTCCAGTGGTGTTCCAAATGGTAGTTACAAAGTTAAACAAACTATTTCATGGACAGTTTACGCACTTATTGTGCGTATGAATATATTCATCTTGTCCATGTGCAATTTTACAATATAGTGGGGCAAACATTAAGACTTTGGGTATATACTGTATAATACATGTATATTGCCTAGCTCACAGCACATCATGGAAATTGGCAGGATATTTCAAGACCAGCGATTTTATGGTCAATTGAAATTCTATGTTCCAACTGATTTCCCAGGGGTGAATGGCACGCATGAAACAAAAGACTCATGTGCCTCTTAATATTGTCACGAGTTTATTTACAACTCTTGTGCCTTTTCTAATATTTATCAGCATTGCTGTAAAACCACAATAAATTGTATTGACACAATAAACCACATCAAGCCAATGAAACAGAAAACGTCAACTTACCTAAGGCTGTATGTCCTTTTGTGTATTTTAGAATTTCACTGTGAGTTTTTGGTGTTTCTGATAGTGGAGGTTCGTAACGAGTGAAAGACATAAAGCAGTACCATTTAGAGAGATCTTTGTCAGTAAAACTTGATGACATCATCAATTCTCGTGCAAAATGAGTCCATAGTTCATTTCCTGTCATGCTATGTGCACGTTCTAAAGTTAATCTACTTTTGAACACATTACAGACGGGTTCGTAATTGGCGTCACATTCTAGTTGAAAAGCCTGACGCCCGAAACCGTGCTCCTTCATTTTCTCGGCAGTGAAGGTTTGGATTAGCATAGCACCAATTTTTATTCTTTCAAGGGCCGAGTCAACCGAACAATCCTCGTCATCGGGACCTTGAAAATAACCATCATCGTCGGCCAGTACAATATAAACCGGACGAACAAACTGCTTGAAGTGCGGGAACGTGAAGGTAAGAGTTATTTTAAGAATCTCATCTTGGTATCGAAGATTAATATCATTATCTCCAGGTACTAATCTTACTAAAACTTTGAACGCGCCCTCGATTACTGGCCATTTTGTTGCTACTAACTCTCTCCTGCTTGCGTTCCAGACTTCAATTTCGCCATCGTCTGTCTTGTAGTCAACATCGCCCAGGATAAGTGGCAGGTGCAGTGGTATGTGTTCCCCATGAGCGACATTGTACACCCGTATTTTCATTCTACCTGCACAACAGTTTCACCTACATTTCTCTTTCCCTGAAAAAGTAAATATATACATAATTAATGTTAATTTGATTTTTTCTTCTTTTTTTTGATTGGATTTTACATCACTCCAACAAGAAGACATCAGATACTATTCTTAATTCATTATTTCAGGAAAACATAATTATGGGCACCTGAATAAAACCACCAATGTTCCATAAGCAAGCTGAATCATAGTTTTCTCAAATGTAAAATATGATGATGCTTATTCACCGCTCAAACCTACAGCAGTGACAGGCAAATGGTGTAAAGTCAATGACCTTAACCACTGTGCTCCCTTTTTTCATTCAAATTAACAAAACAAACAACACATTACTAAACCACTCACAAAATTATTATTAATAATGACATCATGTTTTTTTTGGGTTTTTTTTTCTCATTTTAGTGATTTTATTGGGGCAGTCTTTTTATCATTAATTATTATCTATTTTGCAAAATTGTAATTGGTGACTAAAAACACTTAAAATATCGTTGACAATGTCAATTATAATTATATATTATACATTAGCCTTTCAGTTTCTAATGATATTTTTATTTTCTATAAATTTCAACTTTTACTCAATCATGACAGACAACAGATCCAGGAAGTGTGCTGCTTTAACCCTTTCCCCCATGAGCATATTGTGAAAAATGGCCATTTTCACTGAAAAGCCTCCTGTTACAAGTTCAAACTGCTATAAAACTATGAAAAATGCTTCAATACTAATCAAACTTGGCACAAATGTTGACTGGACCATTGCCTTTGTAACGACATGCTCAGTCTTAAATTTCCTGTTACCATGGCAACGAGGGGACATCTCAAAATTGCCAAAAATCACTTTTTTGCCACGATTTTTTCCATCAAAATTTATTTCAAAGTGCTGCAACTTCTCAAGGGATTGAGATAGAGTCAAAGGCTTTTCAGCGTTGGTTACACGTTACCTTATGATCGACCTGGGGTCATTTTAAGCCTCTCACAAGTCCAAAATTTTCTTGGCGATGAGGGGGACTCCGCCCCCCTTCAAACCCCCCAAACAGAAGGGGGCAACCCCCTGATGTAATATTTGGATGGGGGACGGCGCCGAAAAAATGGTCACTTTTTTTAACAACATTTCTCAAACAAAAGACAGTGTTTGAGGCCTAAATAGGGCATTTTTTCACTGTTTGAGGCCTCAAAAAAGGGGGGGGGGCAAAAAGCCGTCGAAACACGCTTATATAAGGGAAAAGGTTAATTAAAAGATAAATACATGTAGTACAGCATTATTATATTAAGATATTTACTGTAAAACACCACAATCCATCCATGTACATAATTTATTACATGCATATAAATATATAATATAACATCAAATATTAAATTTGCGATACAATTTGCAACCAACCTGTGGCAGTAATAACACAATTCGAGGGTTGATGGCAAAAAATGCAGTACTTTATATAAAAAGGGCTCTCTGACTATAAATTATATACTGTTGATAGCTCAATTTTTGTATTTGTACATAATAAAATCTCTTCTGCAGTGAACTTCCAATGGACTTTTCCAAATTCAAAGCTGGGACCACCCATTTAACAAATTCAGAATGTTTAAAGTCACTCACTGGACCCCTTGACTTACATGAAGAAAACTTGAATGTAGATCCAATTTGTTTAGTACAAATTCCTACTTAAAATAAGCTGTATAATAATTAGTAACACATACAAGTGTGTAAATGTAATTAAAATCCCACCTGTATATAATGAATATCCCTGCAGTGACTTTAGAGAATATATATTAAAGTGAAAGTGACATAAAAACTGACATTTACCTTTACTTATGTTAACTTACTCAGTATCCATGCAAATATAATTGTAGCTAAAAATAAATAAGCAAAGTAACTGGGAGTCAGTGAACTATGTAACCACATCACAAAAAAACTTTAAATCATTTCCCTTGCATTTGCATGAAGAAAAAAACAACAAACATACAAGAAATTACAACAAATCACCAGTTTGCATGTTTGCAGTTTAATAAAACACATACATTTTGCACAACCACCTGTAATTAAAATTGCAGACTTTCCATTTATTGGGGAAAAAAGCTTTTGTATCAGTACTTTATATTAACTTGATGAATTGATATTTTACACACATCAAATAAACTGTTTGCATATTTGGAGTAAACACACACTGTTTCAAACTATGTGCATGTACATTACTAATTAATATTGTAGATTTTCCACGGACTTCAAAACAAGCTTGTTTTTACTATTACGGTATATCTTAGCAGTACTGGGCAGGAACCACTTTCCGGACAATACCAGTTTCCGGACAAGTATTATAACGGCTTAATTTTGGCTTTATCGATGACGATCGGTATTATATGTCATGAAGATGCTTGGTTTGATTGTTTGAGAAAATAAACTTCCTTCCAAGTTGGTACATCATTAAAATTTCGTGAGGACATCTTACCTGTGTTTTAAAAACAGCCTTATATCCCTTTGGGGCATGTAATTTGTTCTGCGCATGCGCAATCATAATTTTGTTTATTTCTGGATATAATTTGGGGTAGCAATTAATGCACAATGTACTTCATTCGAAGTTCATTGGGTGTAATTCCCCAGAGCTAAATCTGTAACGTATCGGAAAACGGTGTTTAGTTAGGTTTACTCCACATTCGCACTTCCTTGCTGCCGTACGCACAAAAATATCCGTTTCACTTTTCAGTTATTTTTCCTATCATAAACATTTTTCAGTATATCAGCTTAAATATATAAGAAAGCTAATATGTGAGAAGAAATTTTTTGTTATATTAGAATAATCATCAGTTAAAAACAAATATGAATAGCAGCTTAATATATGTCCGGAAACTGGTTCTGCAAGAGTGAACAATTTACTCTTTTGATGACCTAATTTAACCCTTCAGTTTGTACATTGCTTACGTCACCAGGCAGTATTAATTGTGTTATTGGACGTAGTTAAGCTCAGGTTTTTGGTATGTTAGTTTTATTAATGCATGTTTATTATTAAAAAATAGACAATTAAAAAAACCCGAATTCTGTCCGGAAACTGGTTCCTGCCCGGTACAGAAATAACAATTAAGTATATGGTATATTACTAAAGAAAACAAGAAGTAATTTTTAAAATCTAAAATATTAATTGCTTAACTATTAATTTCTTTCAAGGGAATATTCAAAACATTTTAAGCATTCTGGACCTTAATAACAGTAAAAAAAATTCTCATTAACATAAATGCCTACAATTAGAGCAATTTTGGTCCATCAGTTAATTACAATGTCATTTTAAAGATCATGGCAAAACAAAATGACAACTACATATTCATTCATTTCAAAAATGTATTACAAAAATAATTTAGATATAATGTTTAATTTTAAAAATACTCACAAATATATAAATTATATTATTTAACTTAAATTGTCCCTTTCCAAATTCTGCATAATTATAGAATAATATATACCACACACAAGGCATGTTACATAAGTCCTACACTTTTAATGTACACGTATAATGCACAATCTAAACTAAACTAAACTGTATCTTTAAAATCAATCACGATAAATCTTTTAAAATCCCCGAAGTCAAACGTTTTCACAACCATTTTGCTGTATATATATCAGTCTTATTCAAATTTCACCTTTGATGTTGACTTAAGAAATAATGGATGACTGAATAACGAAATACTTTTGCCATTGTCAGCTCATTTGACTGTTAATGATTATATTGTCAATTATATACATGTAAATGTTTAGAAATGTTCTGAATTACAATTAAGCCATATAACTTGCAGGGCTCTCTTAATCTATCTCTGATTTAGAAAAAATGTGAGTTTTGGAGTTTTATGGGAAAAAAGTACATTAATTTTGTACCTGTATAGAATAGGAGGGGGAATTTCAATCATAATTTAGGGGGAATTTTGTGCAATTTTTTGGGCCTCAGTTAAAATATGGTTTGTTTCCCCTCCAGTTTAATACGTTACAAATATCACTGCTACCAAAAATTTGTTTACCAATCAAAAATTAAAGGAAATAAAAAATTTCTGAACATAAATTTTTGTTTTACTTTTTTTTTGTTGGATTTAATGTCACACCAACACAGCTAGTATAGGTCATATGAAGACTTTCCAGCTTTAGTGGTGGAGGAAGACCAAAAGTGCCCTTCGATCAATGCATTATTTCAGGCACATTTAGCAGGCACCTCAGTAGAACCACAAGCATATTCTGTAAGGCAGCTCAGGAAAGCGTCCATTATACAAGAAAGAATCCAAAGTCCCCGGCAAGATTCAAACCTATAGCAGTGAGAGGCATCTAGTGCTTTGAAGTCAAAGACCTTAACCACTCAGCCACACTTGCCCCTTTTTCTCAACATGGAACAACGTATTTCAATAAGAATCCCATCTTTTTAAAGGGCTTTTTATTATATAGAGGATGGTCACTCTTTGTGACCAACATTGAAGACCAGTCATTAAAGACCAACATCTGTGGAATATCAGTTTGTAAAGTTGGTCGGTCTTGCAGTGGATTTTAATATCATGAGATTTTATACCTTCATGAGTGTTTTTGCATGGTGAAAATTATGCAAACAGTTGGGGATGATATTATGTCCAATAAAACTTTGGTTCAAAAATTCAAACAGATGCTATTTTAGCATTCACATTTTTATTGAAATCCATATAATTTATTTAACCTGCCTTAACCTAAATTAACGATGGCATGGGTGGCAGGAGGAGAAACAAAGATAATTTTACTATTGGCCTGGCTGCACATATAATACAACAGTTAAATGTACAATTATATTTTATTTAGCAAAAAGCAAATTTCAATAGCATATTGTGAAAGTTCTCTTGCTTTTAGCAGATAAAGGCTAAATAGGCAGGTAAAATTTGTGAACTGAGAACAATGTGATGAATTTATGTAATGGATTTGCTCTTCCTTTGAAATTGGAACAGCCCATTAAAATCAGTTTAAAGAATTTCAATATCAAAATATAACAAGAAACATGGCAATGCCATGAAACCAGGTTTTCAATTATCACCATTGTAGA